AGCCCTTTCTATCCATTTGGAGAAGAGTTCTTTTACTTGGTTCAACTGTTCAGTTGGTCCAGAGTATTTGAATTTGGCACTGTAGGGAAGACTTATCTCCACAGTAATATTCATTGTGTTTAAATCTTTAGAAATAAAAACTTCACTTCTCGTTATTTTTAAAAAAACTTCCTTTTAAGGAAATTTTTCAACAAAAATGTGGTTAACGGGAAAGAGTTTTTTCAGTTGCTATATATATACTTTATACCATTGAGTAATTATATTTCTAAATAGTTGAAATATTGTTTTATCAAAAAAAAATTGTTTTTTTTCAATTATTATCAAAATGTTTTTTGTTCAAATAATATGAACTTTTTTATAAGTAATAATAAATATAAATATTTTTAAAGATAAATTATTTTTGTAACTCAAATTAGTTAAATGTTTTAAAATTGTTGAATATGATATTTTGATATTAATATTTGATAATTTAATTGTTAAAATTCTTAAGGAAAGTCTTAAATTATAATATAAATATTAATCAATTGCTTTTAATTTATATATAGTAATCTTTTTAGAATATTTACTATCTAATTTCTTGAATTATTGTTTTTTGAATTCAATTTTTTGAGATTGTAATAGATAGTTGATATATTTATACTAGTTTTGAAACATATTTTATATGCAGAAGTAATTTTATTATTTCATAAATATAATATAATTTATTATTGGGTATTTTTTTTAAAAGATAATATTGTAAGAATAAGTTTATAACAAAAATAAAATAATTAAATAATTTTAAGTATCTATATATTGTTTAAAATATGTTGTTTATATATTTAAAATTTTATATGAATTGTTTTTGTTTTTAAAAAATTATATATATTTATATTATATAAATAATATTTCAAAATTTTTGTACCATACTATATATTAAACTAGAGATATGCATTTGAAAATTTATAAGTATTACTATTATATTATAAATTTATAATTATTAATTTAATTTTTTAAAAATAAATATTAATTATTTTATATTACATTTAAATTTTATTATATTAAAGTTATTCAAAAATTAATCTATTATAAATAATTTTTTTAAATTAAATTTCAATAATTTTTAATTAATAATTCCAACTATATATGTAATGAAAATAAATTCAAATATTTTTTAAAAGCTATATTATAATAAAATTATTAAGTAATACTGTATATAGTATATAATTAAAAATCATATTTAATATTTAATTCAAAATTATATTGTCAATCAAATTTTTTTTTATAGTAATACACTTTAGTTTAATAAGGTTTGACAATATTAATATAAAATTATTAACTTAATATAAGTTAATATTAATAATTATATTGCAATAATCTGCAACCAATTTATATACTTAAAGATATATATTATTATTATTTAATGATTGTGGTAAAAAAAATTAATGATAATAGTATTTACAATTTTAATTTATCAATAAATAAAAGATTTATTATTATCAAATTTTAAAAAACCATTTATTGATTTTCCAGAAAATGCAATAAATTAACAAAATACTAATTCTATTAAATTATAAAATAAAAATAAATTATATATATTATAATATTTATTATTTGATAATTATTATTATTATCTTATAATTTTTTTTAAGGGTATAATTTATTTATTTAATAAAAACATCGTTACGCGTCGATCATCTGACACATACATGGGCAAAATTCGAAAGCGTCATTTTTTGCACCTCAAAATAGCAACTTAAACTCAAAAAAATATCATAATTTGTTTCAGGACGTCAACGTTAATATCTTTTTAGGCGTGAATGTCTTCTCTGCACGAATACTTCAAAAAAAGAGGAATATTTTTGGATTCCTTAACGCGTGTGAGCTGGAGTTGTTTCAACGATTGATAGAATGTTACCTTTGTTCTCTCGAGAGGATTAAGAGTGCTAGAACTCAGACGCGAAAAAACGCGAACTCTGCTCGACAATTATAAGGAGGGAAATATTAGACTTACTAGTTTTGCTAAAAGTATAGAGAATGACGTGGTAGATAATTTTCGGGTTGAGCCGTGAACCGCACAGGTGATTTTTAGGTTTGCCTGATGTTTTAAGTCTTTGGGTCGAGCCAGGGCTATCTTTGGGTTTGGCTGATATTCTGATAGGATTGGAAATTATGTTTATCGGAAATATTACTAATATTCGAATTTCCTTTTGCTAGGAACCTCGATCCGATCGTGAACTTGCAGGAAATGGGCGAGCTAACGTGCGAGGAAGCAAGTTCACATTCATAAACTGACTTATTTTAATTATGGATCCATACACAGGCCCATACATGGGACTATCAACAGAACCATAACTGGGTACATTCGTCGCTGAATCATCCGGATTAAAAAATATCAGGAAAGGCAAAATGCATTTTGTTAACTGTAAGTCATGAGAATCAGAAGAAATAGCCAATGTTTTAACTACAATTATTTTAATGTTATCCCTAATATTTAAGTAGGATTTAAATAACAAGGTCGAAAATTCTTTCTAAGTTCCTCCAAACGACAATCGTCCAATTTATAAGAGCGAAGTAATTGAGATAAAAGCATAAGGGAGATGAGATTCTTCATTGCCTTAATTGTGATCAGTGGTAAATACAACAATACGTTTAATTTAAATAAAAATACTTAATTCATTATCATTAGCTTAATAACTTTAGCTCAATCATATTTTGTCCGTACTGTGGAACAAAGATCGTATCATCTGGGAATGTCTTATCACTTGATTATGATGATACAGGTGAGGAAAATGATATTAGTGAAAGGGTCGAAGAGGATACTCCCACAAAAGTCGATAAGGTTGCCTTTCGTATATCCCAGACAATTCAAAGTTGAGGTTGAGCACAGGCACAGTAGTGGAGGACATTTTCTTCGAAATTTCCAAGGACATCAACTATGAACAATAAGTTTCTTGAGATTTAAATTATTTTTTTTTGTTAATGATACCGACATATTATTATTAGTCATACTCTTTCCTACATCTTAGATTATGATAAAGAGATTAAAGCCATTTTTAGCGGTGTATAATGGGAAGAATTGATGCAAGACCGAATTGATACTTCATCTATTCCATGTGATATCGCAAGGGAATCGGAAAAAATATGGAAAAGGTACTTTAAAAAACCTACGTAAAAAGATGGATGCCCATAAACATCATGATCAATAATGGGTTAAATTGTCATGTGGATACTTGTAAATAAATGTAAATTCATCTCTATAAAGAACAATATGAATATTGATTCATGGTTATATTATTTGGAACATGTATCGATTTATTTACTAGATACCATTAATTGGAGCCTGATATTAAAAGGTTAACTATTTGTAGTATATTCTTATCAAATTTTATCTAATATAACTTATTTTTTAAAAATTTATAGAATTGATTTACTATTATTAAGTAATGGGAAGTATCATGAATAGCAAGAGCAAGGATCCACCAGTCTCAAAATTGGTAAATTATACATTTCGTTGAAAATTCTTGAATTTGGAATAATTTAGATTGTAAGATCTTTTCAAGGAGTTTCATATCAGAAGTATCTTTTTTATAAAGTCTAAAATACTAAAGCACTTTGCAATATGTATTCAAAATTGATAAAGATAAATTTTGATAAACAAAAAGTAGAAAAAACTTATTACATTTTGAGTTATATATATAATTCACAAGATTATTGATATATCAATGATCAGTCTATATTTTTATTAGGATTTTTCATCTTATATATAGATAACATGTTTTTAGAAAATTAAATAAAATCCTTTTGAAGATTCTAGCATCATTTATTAATACAAGATAAGAAAATTTATTTTTTGTTTTTCTTTAGCCTTTTATTTATTTTTAAGTTTTTATTTTTAAAATATCTATAATTTTAAATATTGTTACAAGGTATTCTAATAAGTCTGTTGCTAATATGGAGGAACTTATAATGTTTATAAAATTAATGGTTTGGCAAATACAGTTAAAACTTTAATTTAACTCTTAAAACACATATTTTTTTTTATAATAGAATGGCAGTAAATATAGGATTTTATTGAATAATTATCAATTTTACATTATATTAAATATTATCTATTGTTATTACAACAGCTAAATGCTAGCCTAATCTATTTATTGTTTCAGTAATACTAGTGACACTTATAAAATGGATTTATATTTTTTGGAGGGACTTATCTAGGGGTGGAAGTCCTACCACTAGTTTAAACTATACATGTGGTGGAATTGAATTCAACTATTTTTTAAAACCTATATTATGGTAGAATTACTAAGTAATATATAATAAATAATTGAAATTCGTATTTAATTTAAAATTATATTATCAATCAAATTTTCTTTTATAGTAATATGACCATATGTATAGTTTAAACCAATTAATCTACCAGTTCAATTTTATATGAGAACAGTAGATATTACTGACTATTTTCTTAAGTTACTTATCATATTACATCTTTTTACTCACATATTATGTGACAGAGGGGCCGCAACATGATACATATACTTTTTAATGAATGCTCTGGTTTTAGTTCACTGATTGGCACTGTTTATCAAATATAGAAGCTCTTGTGGCCAAGTGGGCATGACTTCTAAAAACTATATAAGCCATGTTAAGCAAGCTCCCAAAGTTCTTTATCTTCTAATAGACACTTCAATTCAAAACCGGTTGGTATAGGTTGCCAAATCTAAGGGTATAAATGTCAAGCAGTGTGCAACTCCTATATGTATAAACCATCTGGGAAGAATCATATCACACAAAATATTAGTGTCAATACAATGCTTTCTTTAAAGCTTCCTTATTCAATAGTCAATAGAGATTGGTGGACTGGGATTGATTAAAATGGAGTATAGCCCAGTTTGTATTTTTAAATATGTAGATAGTTCTATAGCTCCTTTCATAGACAATCATTATAACACTATCTGCATAATCATTATATCACGATAGTATTATAAATTATTAGTTGAAAAGTTCAAAATTAACCAATTAGAATTCAGAATTTTTAGTTGCAACTAGTTAATTATATTTAAAACAACTAATAGAATGAAAATTTTTTTGCCAACTAAGATCATTACACCACTACACCTTAATGGAAAGATCACAATTTTAATGTTCACTGGATTAGCATGTAAAATGGCTTTTTATGAGAAATGACATATAATAGATTATGGTGCCAGATATCATGTTAATTCTGTTTAATCATCTTCATATAGGATTAAATTGATATCTTGTGATCTGACCTGTGGAGCACTAACAACTATGCTATGGACCTACAGATCACAACTCTTGAAATATATTAATTTGAATTAGTTTCAATATTGTATATTAACATTATTTCTTTTAACTTGAACTCTATATAATTTCTGAAGTTTTTTTAATCTTTATAATTTAATTCTAAAGATTGTTAAAGATAAAAATAATAATAGATTCTTATCTTCAAATTAAATTTTATTCTATTTTTAGTTCTTTTTTTTTTTTATATTTAAAAAAAAATTTTTATAAAAATTTATTAATTATAATTTAATTTTAAAAATTATATTATATTAAATTATTAAAATTAATTGAATTTTGATTAAACAATTATTATTATTATTATTATTATATCTAATCAGATTATATACCACTTATATTTATTTGTTCAAACTCTTGGAATAAACAAACTTAATACAGATATTATATAAATACATATAATATTAGTAAAAATTTATTATTACTATATAGTATACCTGTCAATAACCAATAGTTTCTAGATGTGATTAAAAAAATAAAAAAGTTGCTCAATTAAAGAAAAATATTTTTTGTTTATCTAAAATATTACAGCTAATCCTTTATTAAGATTGTTATCTCAACTTAATCTCTATGGTTCTAAGATATAAAAAATTTTTATTTTTTGAAAAGATAAAAATAAAAAATAAAAAGAAAAGAAAAAGTTTATACTAATAAAATAAAAACTTATCTAAATCAATCATCAGTCTAATAAAAATTTTCTTTGATTTTAAAGAGAAAAAAAACTAATACAAGAAAGAAAAGAGAAGACTTCAAACAATTTCTTATTAATAAAATACCTCGATACCTTGTTCTTTTACCATATTCAATTGTATTATTGGTTGTAGTATAATATAATATAAAATATATAGGAATATATATATTGTTTATATTTCTTTTATATGCTAATTAATCAATCCAAAATTTTAGCCAATCATTAATCAAAATTTTTGATATAACAAAATTTAGAATCAAATTGAAATAAGCAAAATTTTTTAGAAAAAATCAAAAAAATTTTGATATACTTTAAAATACTACTACAAACATATATAATTGATAAAAAATAATTATATATCCAAGTGAATAGACTTCTTACTAGCTTATTTACTACTTCAGATATCAGATATTTATTTATAATAAATTTAAGATTCTTATAAAACTTGAAAAATACATTTACTAATAGTTTACTTTTTAGAATTCTAGACTTAAAGAGAATATAATAAAGAATAGAACTTTAAAAAGTATCAAACCAGTATTAAAATAGTATAGAAATAGTATCAATCTATAATAAATTTAAGTATTGAACTGGTATCGAACAGATATTAAAGTAGTATTATTAAGAGTCCTAGTGGAAGGTATTTTTCGATAGGTTTTTTTTTTCTAATAAAATATTCTTATTATAAATTAAATAAATAATGTTTTATTTATTTTGTTATTAAAATATACAAAGTTTTTGAAGAAAAAAAGATAAACAAGTGAAAGAGATATTGGTCTTAGGAAATAAGTTATTAAGAAGAGTGTATAGACTTTATTATTAAAAATAAAGAATATTTTTAAGAATATCTGTTTTTTGAATTGGCAAAAGAATTAGCTAAAAAAGTTTTTCCAAATAATAATTATATATAAAAAAAAATAAAAAAATAAAAAAATAAAAAACATATATAGCAATTATATTTTTTAAATTTATTATAATATTATATATTATTAATAATAATATAATAATGTAAACTCTTTTTACTCCAAAAAAAAAATTCTTTCTCACATCGTATCAATTTCAAAAAATTGCCTTTTATAGTAATACAACAGGAAAGCAAATTTTTACTCCTTTATGGATTCCCAAAGGAAGGATATTACCAGAAGCCAATCAAAGGAACAAGCCAAGCTCCTTGTTCAAGCTCCAACTGAATCAAAACCTGCAAATTTTATCTTTACTTTAACAGGAGAGACCACCCCAATACAAATATAAGAAAACCTTTTCAACATGGATTTAGACAATCACAAAGAACAAAACAATGATACATCAACAACCATGATATCCTCCAGTATCAATGTTATCTCAAATTTCACTTCAAATAGTAAGGATGACAATGGATGAATCCAGATAAACAGAAAAAACAAGGGCAAGGCAAAAGAAACAGAAGAATTCTTGGAGAATAACCAATCAACCACAGAAATCAAAAGCCATACTTCACTTCCACTACCTAGTGATCTTAGTTGGTAAAAAAATTTCTAATCGATTAGTTGTCAACTATAGTTGCAACTAATCGATTAATGTATTACATGACATAAAATTACACAACCAACCAACTAGTTGATTAATTGATTAGTTGATTAGTTGATTAGTTGATAAGTTGATAAGTTGATAATTAAATTAAAATTAAATTTATAATTATTTATATTATTTTATTATTTTTAAATATAGTATATAATTATAAATTATTATTTTATTTAAATAATATTCATTATATATTATTAATTAAATATTTAATTGTATTTATTTTAAATTAAAAATTTTAAATCAATGTCAAAATAATAAATAAAAAAATATATAAGTTTCTATTTTAAAGTTTTTCTTCAATATTTATTACACAAGTTTAAATTAATTTTATAT